GTACACATATATACAGGTGATGTTATCCCACACTGCGGGGTGATCAGCTTTCACCACCTTCCGGCTCTTGTACACATATATACTGGTGATGTTATCCAACACTGCGGGATGATCAGCTTTCACCACCTTCCGGCTCTTGTACACATATATACAGGTGATGTTATCACACACTGCGGGATGATCAGCTTTCACCACCTTCCGGCTCTTGTACACATATATACTGGTGATGTTATCCCACACTGCGGGGTGATCAGCTTTCACCACCTTCCGGCTCTTGTACACATATATACAGGTGATGTTATCCCACACTGCGGGGTGATCAGCTTTCACCACCTTCCGGCTCTTGTACACATATATACTGGTGATGTTATCCCACACTGCGGGGTGATCAGCTTTCACCACCTTCCGGCTCTTGTACACATATATACAGGTGCTGTTATCCCACACTGCGGGATGATCAGCTTTCACCACCTTCCGGCTCTTGTACACATATATACAGGTGATGTTATCCCACACTGCGGGATGATCAGCTTTCACCACCTTCCGGCTCTTGTACACATATATACAGGTGATGTTATCACACACTGCGGGATGATCAGCTTTCACCACCTTCCGGCTCTTGTACACATATATACAGGTGATGTTATCACACACTGCGGGATGATCAGCTTTCACCACCTTCCGGCTATTGTACACATATATACAGGTGATGTTATCCAAAACTGCGGGGTGATCAGCTTTCACCACCTTCCGGCTCTTGTACACATATATACAGGTGATGTTATCCCACACTGCGGGGTGATCAGCTTTCACCACCTTCCGGCTCTTGTACACATATATACAGGTGATGTTATCCCACACTGCGGGATGATCAGCTTTCACCACCTTCCGGCTCTTGTACACATATATACAGGTGCTGTTATCACACACTGCGGGATGATCAGCTTTCACCACCTTCCGGCTCTTGTACACATATATACAGGTGATGTTATCCCACACTGCGGGATGATCAGCTTTCACCACCTTCCGGCTCTTGTACACATATATACAGGTGATGTTATCCCACACTGCGGGATGATCAGCTTTCACCACCTTCCGGCTCTTGTACACATATATACAGGTGCTGTTATCACACACTGCGGGATGATCAGCTTTCACCACCTTCCGGCTCTTGTACACATATATACAGGTGCTGTTATCACACACTGCGGGATGATCAGCTTTCACCACCTTCCGGCTCTTGTACACATATATACAGGTGCTGTTATCACACACTGCGGGGTGATCAGCTTTCACCACCTTCCGGCTCTTGTACACATATATACAGGTGCTGTTATCACACACTGCGGGATGATCAGCTTTCACCACCTTCCGGCTCTTGTACACATATATACAGGTGCTGTTATCACACACTGCGGGGTGATCAGCTTTCTCATCCTTCCGGCTCTTGTACACATATATACAGGTGCTGTTATCACACACTGCGGGATGATCAGCTTTCTCCCCCGTCCGGCAATGTGGATGTTATCACCACTGTCCTTAATGCGACAATCAATGGTTTAATATAATGTAGTCATTGTATTTGTACTGCAATTAAATTTGAATTTGTATTTTCTTCTTTGGTCCCCTTATTTTTCATGATATTGTTATTGTAACAGCCATGAATGTGTTTCTGTGAAGATATCACAATGCACAGGCTCGGGTGTGAGGTCCTTTTATTTATTTCTGATACAAACTTGTGAGTTGCAAACTGACACCCCTGTGAATCCCACGGGTGTGTTGTGGTCCACACAGTTGACAATGTGACAATGTCATATCAATCCCTTCAGTCTCCGATCCTGTGTCTGTATCCCAGTGTAGAGTGTTGTGTCGTGAGAAAAATGCAGATGTGAAAACGAAGGGCTTAAAAGTAGGACACTCTGTTCAAAACAAGCCAGTCAATAAAACATCTAGGCTTATACGTTGATTGATAGCTGATCTACCTTACACTGAAGTGGACTTACCCAATAAAATACACTTAACAAAAGAAAAGAGGTTTTCTGATATTACTTTACTTACAACTGTTTAAATATCCTATGCAGCCTGAAATGAGAGATTTGATTATTCATAAATCAGTGAAAATGACTGCTCTATACATCTGAAATAAAACCAATAAATAGGTATTAGTTACTGTTTTTACTGAAATATACAAATGCCATTGTTTAAACATGTTAAAGTAAAACAGCTGAATGATAAAACCTGATCACTATGTACAGACTTAAACTCTACCACATTATTATCAACGTTTACACTTTTTAGCCTCAGTTTGATTTTACACGTGGATGAAGATCATGACTAAGGGACAGTATGTTATTTCCTCGAGGTTTTCGGAATATTCCAGCGTATTCTGACGCAGAGAGTAAGGAAAAGTTCAAGAACGTAAACTTTTGGTTGTGTTATTTATATGTAATTCAGTTTATAGATAACATAATTTCCAGTCCTTACCAAGTCTAAATATAAACTGGCGGGCTAAAGAAACGCTATCATAGATTAGAAACCGTACTGTGAAATAACCACAAAAGATAGATCCATAAAACAAAATGAACAGAGAGAAGCGGCTTTCATTCGAGAATAGCACCCTCTGCCACTCACGTCGCTGCCAACGTCGAACCATCTGGGCTCATCTAAGTCTCCGTCGACGATGTTCGGCTGTCATCTGCTGTCTCCGGAAAGATCTGTAAGCCCGGATTCCATAGGACCTCAGTCGTCTGTCTACTGTGTATCGGCTTATACGGTGACCCAAGACATGCGCCCCTGATGACGTCACCGCCAGGAAGCAGTTTCTCAGATGCAGCGTGCGCAGACACTGGTCCTCATGGGACGTTGTTGACTCGAGGTTGTGTGCCTGTCTGAGGTCAGTCCTGTCTGACGGTATCGCTGCACGAGTCTGGTGACGGTGAAGTGATGACAGCCAAGGTCTTGCAACGTGTTTGAGAGGCTCCCATTTCGATACTTCCAATCGCCCGTTCTCGTTGTCGCAAAGTTGATCGAGCCATTGTTTTGGTGTTTTCGTCAATAGAATGAATGTCTGACAGCCCGTTTGCAGTGGTTCTATACACGTTTGGCATTGAGTTTTTTCGCTTTGCGTGAAAAACATGCAAACCATATTTGGACAAAATGGCGAAAAAGCATGCATTGCATGCCTCATTTCCAAGTGGAAAACTCATTGTTGCGTTTGGACGATGTGTTTTCATGTGATGGTGATTGCAGCTGAATTTGGAATTGTTGGTAATTTCAATTTCAAAGTGGTAACATTTCTTTAGCCCGTCAGTTTATTTACTAAATATAGTGAAATATAGTAATGTATGGATGTCTGCACTGTCCATCTGTATGTCTACTTCTGTAGACCAGCAAATGTATGAAGATCACTGCCCATCCTGGATTCTCAGCCCAGGCCTAATCTTGAGGCTTGACCACTGTTACAGTTATGTTATCCTCCCTGTCTTATTGCTGTAATCACTGCTTTCATATTTTGATATTGTACTGCCATTTGTTGATATTTGTAAACTTAAATACATTTAGAATACAATTGTTTATTATTTCGCATTTGATTATTCACTGTTAGTTTCATACCGAACTAATGGTTTCGAGAACCCCTGGTGTCATCACTATCATCATATTGTCTGAACTACATCGTCTCTGAGAGTAACAGAGATGTCTTATGGATGTGGAAAGGGTTTTGTCACTTTTATGTACATACTGATTTCCAGTTAACCTTTTCTTTCAACACGGGAATCAACAGTAGCAGTGTGGTTATTTGAAAACAGATTGGCGAGACATCAGTAAACTGTCTGTCTGTGTCACAAATTAAGAGCACACCTGAAGGACAGGCAGCACGTATTACTACGAATGAAAAGGCGACCTTAGGGATAATCACATCAATTACAGACGATAGCCTTGCTCCACATACCTTTAAATGAAACAATGACGTTCCACATTAGAGAAAGAACATTAGAAGTATATCCTTGTTGCTGATCAGAACCAATGATCTCACATCAACATTTCACATATCAGGACGAAGGTCAACAGCACACAACTGAACACTGAATGTCGATCCATAATGGAAACAGTCCAAGGCTGAAGTCTTCAAGACAATTTATAACTGTTTTTGTTTTACATACTCCCGTCGTCCAGAATGGTGTAGGGCTGTACTACATTCAGCGATGAACTCTTGAGTAGGCAATCAGAAGTAGGAGCATTACCCCCCAAGCAGAATGCCTTCTCCTGAGGTAGGTCTCCCATGACAGTATAAACATCAACTGTGTTTACATCAACAAGACAACATTATATAGCAGATGTAGAGAGGCATAATGCATGTGTCCCACCTGTGTAAAATGGTGTGTCCTGGAGATATAATCCCGTTTAAAGATGACATCAACCAAATACACCCAAAATAACTATGATGAAAGAGCATAAAACGTGGCGGTCTGTCGGTTTCGCTGCCGACACCTTCCATCCGGGGAGAACAAAGTGAGAACAGTTTGATTGAGTGTCGATGCAATGAGCTGTATGCTTCTCTCGGGGGTAATACGGTCTGATACGATCATTTTATTCTATTTTGAAGATCGCTAAGCCCTGTACCGATTATATTAACACGGAAAAATTGGACAAAGTTTTACCAATATTTTATAACGATATGACTTTTTGAAAACTGGGAATATTACAGACTAATTGACCACGTTCCTCAATCTTAAACCTGTCAAGGGTCACATTGATAACGAGCATCGGACATAATCCGGGACCAGTATCTCTAAAGCTTATAGAACCAAGGTGCATTACGTTTATCTGTCTTTACGGCTGTTTGTATTCCATGTTGGTCAAATCACGTGCGTGTCACATATACCTTCGTGGCATACTCGCGACTGGCCATCGATGCTTCGGTCCAACTAAATGACATAATCTCACGTTCACAATAACAACGTTATCGTAAGTTATATCTGTAAACGCGATTCTTTGCGATAGCTAGAATAGATATATATTACAGATGACAGTCACAAATCAGGGGGTGTCTGTCTAGTAAATTCACTCAGGTATGTAACTCTACTTTCTTCAAGTTCGATAAATCTTGACCATTGCTATGCTATGTTAACTTTAATCTAGTGGACATCTCTTTACTATGTGTTACCCTCGGCACAACCGTCTATGTGGAACGTGGCGTCGCTTAATATATCTCACAATTACTCTGTATTACAGTTTAGGATTGTTTTTTTAATACTGATTGACACTACACTTTTTTTTCGACTATTATAGAATGTATAGAGTGTGTGGGATATTTTAACTATTGCATTACGTTGTGAATACTATGCTGTTTAGGACCGTTACAGAATGTAGATTGTATGAACCCCCACTGGGGTGATGTGTAGTGTACTGAACTATTGTTGTGTACATTGGAATATGTATCGCGATTAATGTAGTATGTGTCGTGTATAACGAATCTACATGTGATGTTTATGTATCAGTTTATGTATCAGATTGATATCTGATTGCATTGTGAACATGTTCTAATAATTAATTGTAAACTATGCTATTATTGACTGATTATGTAAGATGGTTCAGTGACTGCTGTGTAATAAACTCCTTGTTTATTTACTCAGGTGTTGTGTTGTGTGTGGGTTGGTATGGGCAGACCTCTTGCCAAGCGAGCTGATTCCCCAAAGCTCGCGTTTAAATAACTATATAACATGTAAGATAATGTTGCATGTCTGATGCTAAGTTTATTATGACGGTGTAGCCTTTGACAACGTGTGAACTTGGAGTTACATGACCTGACACAGATTGTTACAATGTATCCATGTATAGGTCACTGACTTTTTAAGGCTGCCAAACAACAGCTGAGCTGCACCTTTTTTTAAAGTGGTCCAGGAATGCGATAAGATAATTTGTGTTTTATAAACTGACGAGCAAACTTTATCTTGTCACTTGAGAATTCACAGACCATCAACTCTCAGAGTCTTGAGCTAAGCACCATGTCCCTTCTGAAAGTGCTGGTCTTCTTGTGTACGGTGCTCGGGGCCGCCGTCGGAGAATGTCCGTCTGGCTATTTACGGCATGAGGAATCATGTTATGCACTTATTCTCATCAAGGCAAGCTGGGCAGAGGCTGCTGTGTATTGCCAAGCTGTGGGCGCTCACCTGGCGTATGTGGAAACAGCAGCAGAACAGACCTTCCTCGAGGGCTTGCTGGGCAGATCTTCATCCAATCTGAGCACTGGGTACGTGTGGCTGGGGGCCATTGGATACCTTGTGAGAGGGGAGTGGCAGTGGGGATTCAAGGGAGGAAAGGTTGGCCAGACGTGGTGGTCTCCTGGGTCACCAGGGTACAGCAGCCACAATGGCGAACGACAGGCATGTCTGACCATGACCCGAAGTCTCGGCTTCAAGTGGAACGACGAATTCTGTGATGTGCGTCACAATTTCATCTGTGAGACAGACGCTGCTGGATCTGGAAGTCTTGTCGGATAAATGTTCGTCAAAGGTGACATTCAATGTCATGCCATGTATGGACTTTCTTGACTCGAGATTAAATTAGATTAAATGGTTAATAATTGATCACTTTGGTCATATATATAATAAATCAAGAGATTTACGTATAACTGATTCTTCTGACACATTGTGAAGGTAGGCTGGTGGGGGGTTTGGGTGGGTCTACTGCGTGGTACCCCTTGTGATACTCCGTGTGACACCCTAGAGTCATACCCATATGTGATACTCCTGTGCGATAGCCCTGTGCCATACCCACATGGGATATCATGTGATACCACTATGTAATACTAGTGGGGTACCCATGTTGGACTGGTACCGCGGTTCGCCAGAACAACAACACCAGCATACGTCCATGCACGGCTCTTTATGTGTAAACATATTTAGAACCCGACTTTACCCCCGCTTTCTCATTACATCCCCCCTTACCATATCGTCACAACACGTGGAGACCCATCGATACAGAGCGCAAAGGGGTAGTTTCTTCTCCCGAGACACTTGGGTTTGCCAGGAGTGAGTGAGTATGGTTTTACGCCGCTTTTAGCAATATTCCAGCAATATCACGTCGGGGTACACAGGAATGAGCTTCACTCATTGTATCCATGTTGGGAAACTATCCCGGGCGAAGGCTTTAACCACTAGGTTGCCCGCAGTGTGCTATGGGATTCATTAAAGAGGTCAGTACTACATAACAACGATATTGCAGTTTCACAATCTGATACAGACACCTCACAAATTGTTGTGTCAGTGGATATTTAAAGCATAGGAAAATGAGAAGCAATCATTTTCTAGAACTGACGTTTACATCATTTCCCGAGTTAGCAAAGGACACAGACAGTCGCATACCTGTCAACTCTCACGCATTTGGCGTGAGTCTCACGCTTTATTGACAAATGTCACGCTCTCACGCCTCCAAATAATAATCTCACGCATATCTGGTAGCCAAAAATAATTTCAAAATTAATACGCATTTTCGTTCGTTTTTGCGTAAAGTTGAACATTGAAAGAACGCCTGAATGAACGAAGTACTACAATGATGTTTATGCGAATGATTCGGCTTATTATTTTTTCTTAGCATGCATCTTTTAGTGTCAAGATAATGCCACCAGAAGGCTCCAAATGCTCCTGAAAATCACTAAACTTCATTTTCGGGGGCGGGGGGCTTCGCCCCCCAAAGACCCCCAACCAGGGCGTCGCCCTCGACATGACCCCGGCTGGACCCCGGCTTATTTTTTTCAGTCTCACTCCAAACCATCTTTAGGGGTTGACAGCTCTGCAGTCGGTTCTCACTCTCTAAAACAGCACAATGAATGCAAAGAAAATCACATGCGACAAAACAAACACATCAACATTGTATCATCACCACGGTACATTAACGACGTTTGGATATAAAGCTCACCCACTGTTGTACGTAATGCATGCTGGATATACCGTGTTTACCAGCTGTTATAATACGCCGTTACAAAGACCATGGTATAAGGCCCATATTCACCACATATATCAGGGTGTGCAGGCGACTACCTGCATGGATGGGAGGTGACAGGCACAACTGTAACAACAGCCAGATTCTACAAGGTGGAATCGATGAGGAGGCAGGAGGTGGATACCAAAATACGTGTACAGTCCTGATCTGCATTCTTACTGCTTTCACAATGTAACTGGATTTTAAGCAACGATTTAGAGTTAGATTGAATTATAGATTTCGTTTAGACTTAATGAGAAGATTTAACGATTTAAAGGATAAATTATCCCAAATACACATTTGGTTGATCACCTCAAGATATATAGATATTTCTATACTAATTATGAAATGCAAGTTTATAATTTAAATTAATTTGAAAGTTAACCTAGAGATATACAAAATAATGTTTCAATGCATTACCTAACTGTATCTATTTAATAAAACAATATACGCAGATGTATCTACAAGATACATAGATATGAAGCAAACATAAACAAACCTTTTATAGAATCCTGGGACCTGGATCCTGGGACCTGGATCCTTGGACCTGGATCCTTGGACCTGGATCTTGCTGCAGAGGGAGGAGACCTGCCCATAGTCAAGCCACAGATGATCTACCACTTACCACAAGTCACCCGTGGGTATCTCTCACGGGAGTTGAGAATATTCTGATGGGAGTTGAGAATGTTCTGATGGGAGTTGAGAATGTTCTGATGGGAGTTGAGAATGTTCTGATGGGAGTTGAGAATGTTCTGATGGGAGTTGAGAATGTTCTGATGAATGAACAGGGCGTGGATTCTTAACCATGGGTGTTTGGGTCACTATAGACTAACGCTTAGTCTCTGAATATACGGTGTTGTCCATTTGAGATTTCTTGATGGTTAACGTTATTTAGAATCATTTGGAAGTTGGGGCAGTAAGGAAGGAGAACAATATATGGGTGTACAAGCAAGCGATGCTTGATAACGGTGTTAGAACCTACACCGAAACGTCGCTCTCGCTCTCAAGGAAGGAGAACAAATATCGCTGGGTGAACAAGCAAGCGATGCTTGATAACGGTGTTAGAACCTACACCGAAACGTCGCTCTCGCTCTCAAGGAAGGAGAACAATATATGGGTGAACAAGCAAGCGATGCTTGATAACGGTGTTAGAACCTACACCGAAACGTCGCTCTCGCTCTCAAGGAAGGAGAACAATATATGGGTGAACAAGCAAGCGATGCTTGATAACGGTGTTAGAACCTACAGCGAAACGTCGCTCTCGCTCTCAAGGAAGGAGAACAATATATGGGTGAACAAGCCAGCGATGCTTGACAACGGTGTTAGAACCTACACAGAAACGTCGCTCTCGCTCTCAAGGAAGGAGAACAATATATGGGTGAACAAGCCAGCGATGCTTGACAACGGTGTAAGAACCTACAGCGAAAGGTTGCTCTCGCTCTCAAGGAAGGAGAACAATATATGGGTGAACAAGCCAGCGATGCTTGACAACGGTGAATGTTCTGATGGGAGTTGAGAATGTTCTGATGGGAGTTGAGAATGTTCTGATGAATGAACAGGGCGTGGATTCTTAACCATGGGTGTTTGGGTCACTATAGACTAACGCTTAGTCTCTGAATATACGGTGTTGTCCATTTGAGATTTCTTGATGGTTAACGTTATTTAGAATCATTTGGAAGTTGGGGCAGTAAGGAAGGAGAACAATATATGGGTGAACAAGCCAGCGATGCTTGACAACGGTGTTAGAACCTACAGCGAAACGTCGCTCTCGCTCTCAAGGAAGGAGAACAATATATGGGTGAACAAGCCAGCGATGCTTGATAACAGTGTTAGAACCTACACCGAAACGTCGCTCTCGCTCTCAAGGAAGGAGGAACAATATATGGGTGAACAAGCCAGCGATGCTTGATAACGGTGTTAGAGCCTACACCGATGTTAGAAACGTCGCTCTCGCTCTCAAGGAAGGAGAACAATATATGGGTGAACAAGCCAGCGATGCTTGACAACGGTGTTAGAACCTACAGCGAAACGTCGCTCTCGCTCTCAAGGAAGGAGAACAATATATGGGTGAACAAGCCAGCGATGCTTGATAACGGTGTTAGAACCTACACCGAAACGTCGCTCTCGCTCTCAAGGAAGGAGAACAATATATGGGTGAACATGCCAGTGATGCTTGACAACGGTGTTAGAACCTACACCGAAACGTCGCTCTCGCTCTCAAGGAAGGAGAACAATATATGGGTGAACAAGCTAGCGATGCTTGACAACGGTGTTAGAACCTACAGCGAAACGTCGCTCTCGCTTTAATATGGAAGTTGTTCATCCATATATTGTTATCCTTCCTTCTTGATGGTTGATACTCTTGAATCCCAGGCTGAAATAAATAATGAACAAATCTGTTGAAACACACAGGATTAGTTTGACAATCGCAGGGCGACACAGTGGTTGAATCGTGTAACAGCAGCAATACTGTATAGGCCTATGAACCATTTCTATAATCCAACTCGACCTCTGTTAAAAGGTGAGTCCGCGATATAGACTGTATCAAGTCTGTGAGTGACTATCAAATACTGGTAATATAAGGTGGTTGGTAAACATGAGCACATCCTGCCAAACCCTCGGCCCTCGTCAAAAAACACATTCCAAGAAAAGTCAATATTTCAGGCAAAAAACACAAAAGACTACAACTAAACCTTTTGAATGTCGATACGAGTTTATATATCATACATCACAAACAGCGTATGTATCCTCAGTATCATATAGAGCTTATATATCATATACCACATAGATCTTTTATAACATATAGAGCTTTTGTATCATATATCATATAGAGCTTATGCATCATATATCATATATAGCTGATATACCCTATAGAGCTTAATTACCACATTTCATATATAGCTTCTATACCATATATCACATAGAGCTTATATATCATATACCATATAGAGCCTATATACCATATATCACATAGAGTGTATGTATCTTATATCACGTAGAGCTTATATACCATATATCATATACAGCTTACGTAGCATATACCATATAGAGCTTACGTAGCATATACCATATAGAGCTTATGTACTATATAGAGCTTATGTATCATATATCATATATAGCTCACATACCATATATAGCTTACATATCATATATACCATATATAGCTTAAATATCATAAATCACATAGAGCTTATTTATCATATACCATATAGAGCTTATAAACCATACATGATATATACCTTACATACCACATGGAGCTTATGTATCATATATCACCGTTATCAGCACCAGTATTTAACCTTGTCATAGTAGTTTCTTATTTGGTCTCCTTCAGTTGTTTTTCAGGATCTGTAGTGTCACCGTGAACAATGTATAACAGTTGAAACGTATAAAACTGCATATCGTATAACACTGACTCATAACACGCCATGCTTGTTATTATCAACGTTTACACTTTTTAGCCTCAGTTTGATTTTACACGTGAATGAAGATTATGACTAAGGGACAGTACGTTATTTCCTCGGGTTTTCGGAATATTCCAGCGTATTCTGACTCAATGAGTAAGAGAAAGTTTAATATCGTAAACCTCTGGAAGTGTTATTTATATGTAATTCAGTTTATAGATAACATAATGTGCAGTTCTAATCCAGTCTAAATATAATTGACTGGCTAAAGAAACGTTATCAAAGGCGCCGACAGTAGTTTATCAGGCGATAATGTACACTTTTTGCATGACGTCACACTGTATTGTGACATTCTCGCTTGCCCCCTCGTTATCAACCGTACCCTTGGTAACCGACGTCACCATGCATGTCAGTTGTCATCGCCTCGTACAACCTCCCAACAGTAAACTACGCCGCAGAACACCGTTTCTTGCTTTGCAGTTGCTTCACTCGGCTAACATCACTGCTGGAAACAATACGTTTATATGTTTCGACGGATAAAATGTCTCAGCTCGACTCACAATTAAACAGCGACACGGCAACGTTGGCAATGTTTACATTCCCACAATGCATCCGTTGAATGTCGCGTGACAAGTCAGCTTCATCTGGATGTATGGTTTCTAAACTTACGTTGATAGAAGAAATGCGACGTTCATATTGCCCCATATGGTTAACGTTAATCATAGATGCAATTGAAATAATTCAAAGAAGATATTTAACACAAACGTAAACCGCCATCAAACTCTTTATCATTTGTTTTTCTGGTAATAACGTAGGGGTGCAGACACGTCAATAGAACAGCAAATCAGTTGGCCCTAAGCGAGGATTGTTAACTTAGGTTACCGACACCGTCGTTTTGCTGACCTTCGGGGCAGAACAGAGTGAGAACAGTTTGGTTGAATGTCGATACTGTACCAAGTGTGATGCTGATATTATTCAGACGATGTAGCCTTGGGCAAAGTGTCGACTTGGGTTGGCATGACCTGACACAGATTGTCCCACCTGTCACATCTCAGGTAGAAAGTCTGGAACTATGACGTAACAATCATTACTTTGTTTAAGATAACAATTGCATATTTGCAGTGTATGATATAAGCCCAAAACCCAGCCAGACATCAGGGCTGGTAACTTCAAAATGTTACCAGCCCAAAATGGATATCACCAGACCAAATATGGTAATTTTACTTAGATATATGAAACATCTACAATTTTTACCAGACCATCGGGCTGGCTAGCTGTAAATTTAGACCGTCCGTCAGAAATCTAGACCGTCTCGGGCTGTTGGACGGGCCTTATTACATACACTGATATTCATCAGAAATGTTTTATAGATAATGTCCTCCACTGAACATACGTTTCGGTTATACGTGTCTAGTTACAATGGAAACGTTGCTTAGTTCACTGAGTTTATTAGACTTTTTGAGCGAGTTTAACAACAGGTGCTGAGCTGCACCACTCTAAAGTGGTCCAGGAATGCGATAAGATACGTCTATAAACTGACGAGCAAACTTTATCTTGTCACTTGATTGTTCACAGACCATCAACTCTCAGAGTCTTGCGCTAAGCACCATGTTCCTTCTGAAAGTGCTGGTCTTCTTGTGTACGGTGCTCGGGGCCGTCGTTGGAGAATGTCCGTCTGGCTATTTACGGCATGACGAATCATGTTATGCACTTATTTTCATCAAGGCAAGCTGGACAGAGGCTGCTGTGTATTGCCAAGCTGTGGGCGCTCACCTGGCGTAGGTGGAAACAGCAGCAGAACAGACCTTCCTCGAGGGCTTGCTGGGCAGATCTTCATCCAGTCTGAGCACTGGGTACGTGTGGCTGGGGGCCATAGGATACCTCGTGAGGGGGGGGGGGAGTGGCAGTGGGGATTCAAGGGAGGAAAGGTTGGTCAGACGTGGTGGAATCCTGGATCACCAGGGTACAGCAGCCACAATGGCGAACGACAGGCATGTCTGACCTTGACCCGAAGTCTCGGCTTCAAGTGGAACGACGAATTCTGTGATGTGCGTCACAATTTCATCTGTGAGACAGAGGCTGCTGGATCTGGAAGTCTTGTCGGATAAATGTTCGTCAAAGGTGACATTCAATGTCGTGCCATGTATGGACTTTCTTGACTCGAGATTAAATTAGATTAAATGGTTTATAATTGATTACTTTGGTCATATATATAACAAATCAAGAGATTTACGTATAACTGATTCTTCTGACACATTGTGAAGGTAGGTTGTTCAACCGGGTGGGGGGTTTAGGTGGGTCTACTGCGTGGTACCCCTTGTGATACTCCGTGTGATACCCTTGAGTCATACCCATATGTGATACTCCTGTGCGATAGCCCTGTGCAATACCTACATGGGATATCATGTGATACCACTATGTGATACGTCTGTGTGATAGCCCTGTGCCATACCCACATGGAATATCATGTGATACCACTGTGTGATACTTCTGTGTGATAGCCCTGTGCCATACCCACATGGGATATCATGTGATACCACTATGTGATACCAGTGGGGTACCCATTTTGGACTGGTACCGCGGTTAGCAAGAACTACAACACCAGCATAGGTTATCTCCCATTTGACAGACACCCAGTCAGTTGGCAGACACCCAGTTGGCAGACACTGAGCAAGAAGGTTAATTAGGGTAACACCTATGGGTATAATGGAACAGTCCACAGTCTAGTGAGTGGAGGAGGCTGAGGTTCGTTATTGAGAAGCTTGCTTTGGTTGAGTGTAAATAAAACTTTGTTGTGAGTAAATGATAATCTGTTTTTTCTTCTCGAAGTTGTTCTTACTATCAATTACTATCGAATAGAGGTTTGTCACTGTGTTTACACAGAACATGGTCGCCGATTAATGATAATCTCTCTTCTCTCCTCACTTTGTTTTTAGTATCAATTGATCTTTGTATGAGGAAAGATCTTAAGAGAGTTTTACATCTGTTTTTAAAAACAAGGATTAATTAATTAATTTTATCAATAGACTAATTTTAAATTTGACTCAACAAATATATAAAATGGTGAAAAGCATATCTGTTCGATATCAATATGGCTGGAGTGCGGAGAGTGGAGTATCTGATGTCACAGAGAGGGGGCCCTCAAATTGTTCTGGATGGTTATGTTTACACCAGAAATAAGGTCAGACAGACCTGCACCCACTGGAGATGCATCGTCAAGACCTGCACGGGGAGGTGTTCAACTGTCGGAGACTTCCTTCGAACACAGACAGAGCACAACCATGCACCAGATGACTGCCCCAAGCAAAGATTTGTCAGTGAACTGCGCAAGCGAGCTAGAGAGGAGACAACTCAGATGCAGACCTTGTACACAGAGCAGCTGTCAGTAGAGGAGGAAGACAACCTACACGTTCTTCCATCTTTCACCAGCGTCAGCAGTTCTCTGTACAGACACCGCCGCAAGACCATGCCAGCGTTACCTACCACCCTCCGACGAGAAGTGCATTTGGAAGACAGTTGGACAGAGACAAGTAATGGACGTCGTTTCCTTCTTCTTTCTGATGGAGAACAAGACAAGATCCTAGTGTTCTCTACCACTGAACAGCTCCAGGTGCTGCAGACCGCCGATACCATCTACATGGATGGAACTTTCACTGCCTGCCCTGGGCTTTGGGATCAGGTTTACATAATTCATGCCCGTTGCAACTCGGTGTCATACCCCTTAGTCTTTGCCCTTCTGCCTGATCGTCAAACCACCACCTACGTTAGACTGTTCCGCCTCCTCAAGGAGAAGGTGTTGGAGGAACTGAATCGTCCCCTGGCCCCAGCAAAAATACAGACAGATTTTGAGCTTGCAACCATCCGAGCCATCGAGATGGAATTTCCAAATGCAGAGACCAAGGGATGCTTCTTCCACTTCTCCCAAGCCCTGTGGAGGAAGACACAAGATCTAGGTCTCACAGTTGCATACAAGGAGGATCCAGCAGTAAAAAGAGTTCATCAGGAGCAGCTGCCCTTGCCTTATTGCCACAAAGATCAGGTTCAAGACACCTGGATTGATGCCATGGACTCCTCCCAGCCTCTGACCGCATTGAGGACTTCAAGGATTACATGGTCGTCACATGGGTGGACTATGACGCCCGATTCCACTGTCACTTTGGAACCATCCCACAACACTGTAGGACCAAGGACCAACAACAACTTGGAAGGTTTCCACAGTCGGATGAACAGATCTCTTCCACACCGCCACCCCAACATATTTCGCTTTGTGGAAGTAATTCGGAGGATCGAGATGGCTGACAGAGCCAAGCTGAGACAATTCGACTTTGGGGCTGCTCCTCCAAGTCGCAAGCGAGTCTACAGAGAGATCGACAACAGGATCCTGAGGCTCAAAGACACACTGAGTCGCGGCGAGAAAACTCCTCTTCAGTTCCTAGATGCGGTGGCAAACCTCATAAAACTTGGCTAACAAGACATGAACTTTACTGGACTTGCTATAACTAAGCTTTAATTAGATCTATAAATACAGAAAAATATTGCTATGTCAAAGATATATCTACTTAAAGCTACTGTGCTACTACACTCTCTCAAAAAAGAAACGCAACCCCTATCTAAATATCTGACATCATTTCTAGAATAAAGATGGTGAATGTAAATTAGAATTTTCTTCAAAATACTGTTAATACGTTCCCATTTGATCAGTATAAGCTCCCAAACGGAACCATTTTCACACATGATGACCTTTGTATCCGTGTTATTTGAGAAAGTGCGAAATTGTCATGTACAAAATGCTAAAAGCCTGTTGCACGTGCAAATCGTTGAAAACACAGTTCATGTAGAGGGTTTTAAAAGCACGCGTAGTTTGTAATTTTCTCTCATAATTTGCTCTGCAAAGCAAGTTCGAAAATGCCCCGTTTGAGTACAGCAAATCGAAATATTGCCATTGGTCGCATTGAGGCCGGGGAAAGCTTTGGAACAGTTGCCCGTCATCTAAACGTACACAAAACAATAATCTCACGACTTTGGAATCGTTACACACAGTTCCATGCAATTGAAGATCGTCCCAGGAGCGGTAGACCCTAGGATCACCACGCACCGGCTCAGGATCGCTTTATTCGACTCAGCCACCTACGTAATCGGCATGCCACACCCACCATCACTGCAACACAGGTGCCAGGTTTGAGAGAGTATCGGCCCAAACCATCAGGAACCGTTTACATGAGGCAAATTTACGTGCAAAGAAGACCAGTTGTTGGGCCCGTCTTGAAACGCCAACATCGACGCCAACGTCTCAGGTGGTGTACTAACGTAAGGAGATGGACCCTAAGAAACTGGAGAAGAGTCTGGTTTAGTGACGAGTCTCGTTTTCTTCTTCAACGACGTGACGGTGAACAACGTGTCTATAGACGAGCAAATGAACGTTTTGCACCGAACTGCGTTCGACAGGTCGACAGATTTGGAGAGTCAGCATCATGGGTATGGGGAGCCATGTCTTACAACCAACGGTCAGACTTGGTCATCATTCGTGGCAATTTGACGGCACAACGGTACATTGATGACGTCTTACAGCCACATCTTCTGCCGATAATCGACCCACAGAGGGAGTTGTTTCAACATGACAATGCCCGCCCTCATACAGCTCGTGCAACAGTGGCATTCCTACAGAATTCAAACGTCAACGTGATGCCGTGGCCCTCCAGATCGCCAGACATCAATCCTATCGAACATCTGTGGGACCAGCTGGATCGTCGTGTTCGTGCACGTACACCACAACCGCACACGTTGGTTGAACTGGCCGCAGCACTCCAGGAAGAGTGGAGAGCAATCCCCCAGGAAAACATCCGCCGTCTGATTCGTTCTGTTCCGAGGAGGTGCACTGCTGTGATTAGAGCTCGTGGCTCTACAACGAGATACTGAAGACAACGCCCCCTAGCGTAAATTGAGAGTTCGATACTGACCTGCATAAACTGTTACCTTATACCGTGCTGACCTAAGGTTCACCATGTCAAATTATCTTTAAAAATACCAATGTAATAACCAGTTAAAATTGATATAAACATTACCAAAAAAACAGGGGTTGCGTTTCTTTTTTGAGAGAGTGTATTATGCATTGTTAAATTGAAAAATATTGTATTCTTGTGATCAAATAAATATTAGATTTTTTTTTTGTGTTTTTATTTGGACTATTCCATTATACTGTGTAGGTAACAGGTAGTTGCTCATCTGTTCATTGAACCGTAAATGATGTTGTTTTAAGGTGTCTGCGAACTGGCTGTCTGCGTAATGGGAGGACACCCCAGCATACATCCATGCATGGCACTTTATGTGTAAACATATTTAGAACCCGACTTTACCCCGCTTTCTCATTACATCCCTCCTGACCAAATCGTCACAACACGTGGAGACCCATTGATACAGAGCGCAAAGGGGTAGTTTCTTCTCCCGAGACACTTGGGTTTGCCAGGAGTGAGTGAGTGTGGTTTTACGCCACTTTTAGCAATATTCCAGCAATATCACGTCGGGGTACACAGGAATGAGCTTCACTCATTGTATCCATGTTGAGAAACTATCCCGGGCGAAGGCTTTAACCACTAGGTTTCCCGCAGTGTGCTATGGGATTCATTAAAGAGGTCAGTACTACATAACAACGATATTGCAGTTTCACAATCTGATACAGACACCTCACAAATTGTTGTGTCAGTGGATATTTATAGCATAGGAAAATGAGAAGCAATTATTTAGAGTTAGATTGAATTATAGATTTCGTTTAGACTTAATGAGAAGATTTAACGAATTAAAGGATAAATTATCCCAAATACACATTTGGTTGATCACCTCAAGATGTATAGATATTTCTATACTAATTATGGAATGCAAGTTTTTAATTTAAATCAATTTGAAAGTTAACCTAGAGATATACAAAATAATGTTTCAATGCATTACCTAACTGTATCTATTTAATAAAACTATATACGCAGATGTATCTACAGGATACATAGATATGAAGCAAACATAAACAAACCTTTCATAGAATCCTGGGACCTGGATCCTGGGACCTGGATCTTGCTGCAGAGTGAGGAGACCTGCCCATAGTCAAGTCACAGATGATCTACCACTTACCACAAGTCACCCGTGGGTATCTCTCATGGGAGTTGAGAATGTTCTGATGAATGAACAGGGCGTGGATTCTTAACCATGGGTGTTTGGGTCACTATAGACTAACGCTTAGTCTCTGAATATACGGTGTTGTCCATTTGAGATTTCTTGATGGTTAACGTTTTTTAGAATCATTTGGAAGTTGGGGCAGTAAGGAAGGAGAACAATATATGGGTGTACAAACCAGCAATGCTTGATAACGGTGTTAGAACCTACAGCGAAACGTCGCTCTCGCTCTCAAGGAAGGAGAACAATATATGGGTGAACAAGCCAGCGATGCTTGATAACGGTGTTAGAACCTACACCGAAACGTCGCTCTCGCTCTCAAGGAAGGAGAACAATATATGGGTGAACAAGCCAGCGATGCTTGATAACGGTGTTAGAACCTACACCGAAACGTCGCTCTCGCTCTCTAAGGAAGGAGAACAATATATGGGTGAACAAGCAAGCGATGCTTGATAACGGTGTTAGAACCTACAGCGAAACGTCGCTCTCGCTGTAATAAAGAAGTTGTTCATCCATATATAGTTATCCTTCCTTCTTGACGGTTGATACTCTTGAATCCCAGGCTGAAATAAATAATGAACAAATCTGTTGAAACACACAGGATTAGTTTGACAATCGCAGGGCGACACAGTGGTTGAATCGTGTAACAGCAGCAATACTGTATAGGCCTATGAACCATTTCTATAATCCAACTCGACCTCTGTTAAAAGGTGAGTCCACGATATAGACTGTATCAAGTCTGTGAGTGACTATCAAATACTGGTAATATAAGGTGGTTGGTAAACATGAGCACATCCTGCCAAACCCTCGGCCCTCGTCAAAAAACACATTCCAAGAAAAGTCAATATTTCAGGCAAAAAACACAAAAGACTACAACTAAACCTTTTGAATGTCGATACGAGTTTATATATCATACATCACAAACAGCGTATGTATCCTCAGTATCATATAGAGCTTATATATCATATACCACATAGATCTTTTATAACATATAGAGCTTTTGTATCATATATCATATAGAGCTTATGCATCATATATCATATATAGCTGATATACCCTATAGAGCTTAATTACCACATTTCATATATAGCTTCTATACCATATATCACATAGAGCTTATATATCATATACCATATAGAGCCTATATACCATATATCACATAGTGATCTGTTTGATTGGCATTTAGAAGTTGGTGACTAATAAGAAAGTAAGAAAGTTTATGGATAACAACTTCTTTATTATATATGATGCGACGTTTCGGTATGGATTCTTATACCGTTGTCAAGCAAGAGTGAAGTACTACAGCACAGAACAGACTTATATACATGAACAGGGATTAAGTAATAACAACATGTAGGACTGAAAGGGGGATTAACAATAACAACAAGGCACGGTGGCAATAATGTAGTGACAATAGGAAGCCAATGGTGGTTGATGTAAAAACAAAATATACATGCTGATGAGATTAATTAACAATGATGGCTGAGGTGCTCTAATCTGTTGTTTTATGAGATCATTGTATGCAGAAGGGATGAGATATCCCTGGTCTCTGTTGATTGAGGGCTTGTGTCTCCGGATTTGAACTGCTTCTGCAAGTTTCCTTTTGGTGAAGTCCTGGTGGTTTTTGGATAATATGTCCACATTGTCCCAAATTATGTTGTGATTGGGGCAGTTGATGATGTGGTCTGATATTGCCGATTTTCTATCAGATTTAGTGGTAGATGATAAGTGTTCTTTGATTCCGGATATTTATGGGCCGGGAGGTTTCGCCTACATAGGCCTCGCCACAGTCACAGTTGATTTTATAGACAACACCTTTGGGTTGATGTTGTCGTTTAGAGGTGTTCCTGCCATTCGCTTTCAGTAGGGTTTTTAGTGGTGTAGAGCTGGTAAAGTAGGTTTCGATGCCTGCTTCTCGCTTGAGGAGACGGCTGATGTGGTGAGAGGTTTTCCTATGCCAGAGGGATAAAAATCCACGAATAGGTGCTGGTTCAGACTTGTTGTGTGCTCCAGAGACACTTGTTGGGTACAGTGTGGTGCTCCTAACGGAAATCGACTAGGTTCGACAGCGGATGGTTGAATCTCTGGTGAAAACGGATTTCTGTAACAAACTCCTCAAAATAACTGAAGCAGACCAGATCCTGAGTTACGATGTTGTGGACCTCTTCACAAGTGTCCCCATAGAAGAAACTCTCCAAATCCTCCGCCAACGCATCTCTGAATTAGAAACCCCCTTGACACCAACCTCACCACTGGCTCCATCATTGCCCTCACCTCTGCCTGCATCACCTCCACTTACTTCACCTG